TTCCAGTACCAAACGACGTCGTTTTTGGCTTAAGACAAAACGACGTCGTTTTGTTTAAGTTCAAATAAAAAAAAAAAGAAAGAAAAATATAATAAAACTTAAACCTGTAAACAGTACACACGAACAGAGAGCTTCAAAGTTCAAAAAACTTGGACAGAGTTCACAGAACACAACTCTCCATTCTCGACCTTCCTCGACGGCTCGACGCGCCGCCGACTGACTTGCCGCCGACCTGACTCACCGCCGGACAGCCATCGACGTGGACTCTCGACCCTCTATCAGGTATTTTCAAATTTATTTTTATATGGAATTTGGGATATTTGACTTGGTTTGTAAACTTGTAATTAGGTTTTGATAATTTTAGAGTTTCATGAAATTTATTGGAATCTTTATATGTGAAGTTGATGAAATTTGGTGTTGGTTGGTTAGCTATAATATCATTGTGGTGTGTAATGGTTAAACCATAAAGACGTAGACAATGTGTTTGATGAAATTCCAAAGAGATAACTTAGTAAAAGTTTAAGTACGTAACATTCGAAAATTGAAAAAAAAATATTATACATTCATGTATATTGTGTTTTTTTTTTTTTTTTTGCAATAATGTTGATGTATTATTCATGATTTTTTTGTTAGGTTTTAATTTTTATCAATGGCTAGTAGTTCGGCATCAAAAAGTACTCCGTGTGATTCCTGGACATCTATCGAGGCCGAGAATGATTCCCAAGTATTTAAAAGAAAGTCGGATGACATAGGTTAGAACTATGGTGTTCTAGCCAATCCATATAACAAAGATAGAGTGAAATGCGTGTTATGTAGTAAAGTTATGTCGGGTGGTATACGTAGATTGAAAGAGCATATTGGTCAAATTTCCGGGAATGTTGTTTCATGTAAAAAAGCAACAAAAGAAGATCAAGCTAAATGTAGAAATGCCATCAATGAGTCCAAAGCCAAGAAGATGAAGACAAAAGAAGTTCAAGAAGAGTTGCTATCTTCGGTTAACATTAAAGGGTTGAATGTTGAGTCCTCTCAACAATGCGAAAAAGCAAAAGAATCTCACTCTCTTGGCCCAATAGATAGATTTGCTACAAAAATCAACCCGGAAGCATCATTGAACGTGGCAAAGACGATGCGGGAACAAAACATTAATGATGCTATTTGGAAAGAACGATCCAACTTGGTGAAAGATTATTTCGTCGATTGAGCTTATGAAGCGGGCATATCATTCAATGCAATTGAGCTCGATAGCTTTCGGCTCTTTAGTGAAGCGCTCGGTCAATTTGGGCCGAGGTAGAAGCCTCCTAGTTCGTACGAGATGAGAGAGCCATTGTTGAAGAAAGCGGTTGAGAGAACAAAACTCAAGGTGAAGCCTCATGAAGATGAATGGAAGAAGAGGGGTTGCTCGATTATGACGAATGCTTGGAGTGATAGAAAGAGAAGAAGCATCATGAATTTGTGTGTGAATTCTAAAATTGGAACGATATTTCTATCTTCCAAGGAATCTTCCGATATATCTCACACAAGTGAAATGATTTTTGAGTATGTGGATCAATGCATTGAGCAAGTTGGGCCCGAGAATGTTGTTCAAGTTGTGACGGACAATGCTTCAAATAATATGGGAGCGGCGAAGTTATTGCGCATAAAGAGGCCAACTATCTTTTGGACTTCATGTGCCGCACATACCCTCAATCTTATCTTGGAGGGCATTGCAAAACTACCCCGGTTCACCAAAACCATTGAACAAGAAAAGGCATTAACTATATTCATTTATGCACATCATAAGACCTTATCCATGATGAGGTCTTACACTAAAAGGAGGGACATAGTAAGACCCGGAGTCACACGATTCGCCTCTTCATTTCTTAGCTTGCAAAGCTTGATGGAAAAAAAGGCACAATTAAGGGCAATGTTTACTAGCTCCGAATGGGATGAGTGCAAATGGTCCAAGACGGTCAAGGGGAAAGAAAGTTACAACACCGTGATGTCTATTAGTTTTTGGAATGGTGTGACTTCTTTCTTGACTATTTTTGCTCCTTTGGTTAAGGTGCTTCGCATTGCGGATGCCGATAAGAAGCCGTCGATGGGATTTTTGTATGGGGAGCTTATGCATGCCAAAGAGGATATAAAAAGTGTCTTGAACAATCTTGCCAAGAACTATGATCCCATCTTAGAAATCATTGACACGACGATGATGGGCAGATTGGACACCCCGTTGCACTTGATGGCATATCTACTAAATCCTTATTATCATTATAAGGACCCGAATCTCGTATTAGATCAAGTTGTTTCAGATGGAGTTTTTGATTGTCTTGATGTCATTTGTCATGATAACTTTGATTTGATGGATAAAATCATAAACGTTGAGTTGCCCATTTATAAGGCAAAAGGAGGAGCCTTTGGGAAGCCAATTGCCGCAAAAGGCTGGAAGTAAACGACGAGAAGTTTGATCCGAGTAAATATATATATATATATATATATATATTATATCTTGTCTTGCCTCTTATGTGATGTCTTGAAATAATATATTTGTTTTTTAATTTTTATTAGTCTTATGCTTGTTTTTTAAGATTAAATTGCTACACAATGATTATGCTTTCATATTAATTTCTCTTTTTTTTTTAATGCATAGCCACTTGGTGGTTAAATTATGGATGTGGAACTCCTAATTTGCAAAGAGTTGCCATAAGAATCTTGTCATTAACCACAAGCTCGTCCGGGTGTGAAAGAAATTGGAGTACATTTGAAGGGGTTAGTTGGATATACTATTTTTTAATTGTTTTGTAATTTTTTCATTGTTATTATTTTTATTGTCATACTTATATTATAAAATGTGGTTTTATTTATTTCTTAGATACATACAAAAAAAAAGATATCGGCTTGATGTTTCCCGCTTGAACAATCTAGTTTATGTCCAATTCAATTCTCGTTTATTGAACAAGCGCAAATGGAGGAAAGAAAAGGATGTGTTACTTGCTAGTGAGGCAAGTAAAGCTCAAGAGTGGATTATTCCGGGATTAGTAGACGAGGAATATGAGGACGTTAATGGACTTGAAGTTGAGGATGGCACATCAAGAGTGAGAGAGCTTGAAGAAGAAGATTTTGAATCCGAAGAGGAGGAACAAGTTAATGAGAATGACATCGACTTTGAGTCGGATGAAGAGCGTGTATTGGAGAATTATGGAGATGGAGAAGAAGAAGAAGATCCTCTTGTGCTTGGCCATATTTCTTAGATATTGGCTATTGTTTCTTATTAGTGTTTTGGACATTTGTCCATGTGGGTTGTTTTGAATCTTTGATACTTGGGGTTTCTTTTGAGATTGTGGTTATGTAATTAATAATTATTACTACTTAGTACTTAGTAGTTTTTATGTATTTATTTGGACTTGGATTTTGTTTTGAGTTTGTTTTAGACTTGGAGTTTGTTTTTAGATTGTGATTAGTACAATATTACTAACTTGTTGTCATGTGGGTTGCTAATGTGGATTGCTAATTGCTATCATGTTTTCAATTTTCAATTTTTCATTATAATACATTAATATTATTGTTTGTATTTAAGTGTGTGGACATTTGTTATAAATTGAAATACTTTCATTTTGTAGGAAGTGAAAATAAATAAACAAAAAATAATATATTTAATATTAATTTCTAGGCCCCGCTCAGGCCCCGCCTAGGCGCTAGGCGCTGGTCGGGCGCCTAGCGACTTCTAGAACACTGTAAAATAGTCGACAGCGACTACTAAGAACTTCCTCTGCCCTGTTCCCATCGGCAGTGGTCCTACCAAGTAGATTCCCCATTGCGCGAAGGGGATCGGTGTGTTTATGGTCGTCATGTACTCGGCGGGGATATGAGTGACTTGCCCGTGGCGCTGACATTTTTCGCACTTCTGGACTAGTTGTTCCGCCATTGCCCGCATCTTGGGCCAATAGTATCCTGCTCGTAGGGCTTTGCCCGCCAAGGCTCGGGATCCTATATGTGCTCCGCAACATCCTTTATGTATTTCTTTCAAGACATGGGTTCCCTCGTCCTTAGAGACGCATCGCAAGTGAGGCCCGACCAAAGACTTTTTGAACATGACACCGCCGACTTCAAAATATTTGCTCAGATATCGAGCGACCCTCTCTGCCTCCTGCTTATCTCCCATATGTACTCGACCCTGTATGAGTTCATGAATCGATTTTCTCCAGTCATCTTTTTCCTCGACTTCTATTGTTTCGCCCAACACGCTTCCTTCTAAGTGCATGGTGGTGATAGAACTTCCCATCTTCCCATCATTCGAGCTCGCAATTCTCGCGAGCCAATCTGCTCGTTTGTTTTCCTCTCGAGGGATTTGTGTTAGTTCAAACTTCTCCAGGCCCTTCACAAGACTTTGGATTTCCTCGACATATTTCATCATTCGTTCTTCTTTGATCTCGCAACTTCCCAACACTTGTCCAACAACTAACTGTGAGTCGGAATATGCCACTACTTCTGACGCTCCTCCGCCAATTGCGAGTTGAATTCCTTTGATTAACGCTTCGTATTATGCTTCGTTGTTCGAGGCCTTAAATCCCATTCTAATGGCAAAGTCAAGTTGCTCGCCCTGAGGTGAGACGCGGACAATTCCCAGACCGGATCCTTTGGCCGCTGAGGATCCATCGACGTGCATGACCCATTTCTTTTCTTCTCCCTTGGTACCTTCTTGGATGAAATCCGCCAAGGCTTGAGCTTTTATGGCTCGCCTTGGCTCATACTTGATAGAATATTCGCTCAGCTCGACTTCCCACTTGACGAGTCGACCTGATACCGTAGGTCGGCCCAATGTTTCACCCAGCTGGAAGTTCGTCCTGACCACTACCATATGATTCAGAAAATATGGCCTCAGTTTTCTAGCCGTTATCACCAGTGTCAGGGCGGCTTTCTCGATCTCAGAATATCTTGTCTCTGCACCCTGAAGAACTCGACTGGTGTAGTAAATTGATTGTTGGACACCTCCTTCTTCTTGCAATAACACTAAACTTAGTGATACCGAACCCACAGATATATAAAGCACCAACTCGTCGCTGGGCTCTGGTTTTGTCAACAAGGGTAGCTCGCCCAAGAATTCTTTCAATTTTTCAAAGGCCATTTGTGCTTCGTCACTCCATGAGAAGGTCGACTTCTTCTTAAGTAATTTGAAGAACGGGAAGCTTTTTTTTGCGGCTCGAGCAATGAACCTGCTCAGCCCCGCAATTCGTCCCGTCAGAACTTGCACATCTCTTATATTTCTTGGTGGGGCCATGTCGAGTATGGCTTTTACTTTATCCTGGTTTACCTCGATTCCTCGCTCTGTGACGATATATCTCAGGAATCGTCCTGCCTTTACTCCAAAGGCACACTTGTTTGGGTTCAGCTTCATCCCGAACGCCCTAAGGGTTTGAAATGTTTCCCTTAAATCGTCTGGGTGTGAGGTCGAGGCTTTACTCTTCACCAAGATATCGTCCACATATACCTCGATATTTCGCCCGATCTGAGATTTGAACATTCGATCCATCAGCCGTTGGTAGGTTGCTCCAGCATTCTTAAGTCCAAATGGCATGACGACATAGCAGTACGTCCCTTTACTCGTCACGAAACTCACCTTACTTTGATCCTCCGGGCACAACGGGATCTGGTGGTATCCCTGAGATGCATCCATCATACTCAGTAATTCGCAACCAGCCGTAGAGTCGACGAGCTGATCAATTCGTGGTAAGGGATAATGATCTTTTGGGCAAGCCAAGTTTAAGTCACGGAAATCGATGCACATGCACCATTTGTTTAGTGCCTTTCTCACCATCACGGTGTTGGATATCCACTCGGGAAATTGGATTTCTTTGACATGCCCTGCTCGCAGCAACTTGTCCACCTCGACTTCAATTGCTTTGTCGATTTCTTCACCATGGCGTCTAAGTCGTTGTTTTACTGGCTTTCTGAGGGGGTCGACGTTGAGTTTATGCTCCATAATAGTGGGGTCGATCCCCGTCAACTCCTCAGGGGTGAAGGCGAAAACATCCCTGAACTTCTTTAGTAGTGTGATGAGTTGGTTTCGTAGCTCGTCTTTCAGATCTTTCCCGATCTTAGTGGTCTGTTCCTTCGTTTCTCTGATTTGTATTTCCATTAGCTCCCCGTGTGGTTCGAGATCACTATTCCTTGGCCTTTTCTCGTTCATCATTGGCTTCTTTCCCTCCTTAACTTCGGCCCGCTAGTTGGTTTTTACAGTGATTTGATAACAAGTCCTCGACAGCTTTTCATCGCCTCGAGCTTCTCCAACTTGGTCTCCGACTGGGAACTTTAGCTTCATATGGTAGGTCGATACTACCGCCTGGAATGCATTAAGTGCTGGCCTCCCCAGGATCACATTATAAGCTGACTCGACATCAACCACCACGAATCTCACCATTTTTACCTTCCGCAAGTCACCTTCCCCTAGAACGACAGCGAGCATGGTTTCCCCTAGGGGCGCGACCTCTGACCCGTTGAAACCAAATAGTGAGGTATGGAGGGGTGTGAGCTGTATGTCAAGCTCCATCCTTTTGAGACAATCGTAGAAAATCACATTCACAGAACTCCCAGTGTCGACAAACACTCTCTGCACTTCATATCCCGATATTTGGGCAGTTATCATCAATGCATCGTTGTGAGGTCTTTCAACTTCTCCCACATCTGTTGGACCGAAGTTTATTACCGACCCATTCTCGTCGACTTGTGTACCTCGACTTTCCCGTGGCGCCCTCGGGCATACGCCTTCCTTGCTCGATTCGAATCTCCATCGGTTGATCCTCCAAATATCATATGTATGGTTCTCCTTTTCTATGGGAGCTGCTCTTTCTCTGGCGTTCTCGCCCTCTTGCGAGGGCTCCTGCTCCTTTCTTTCTTCCTGCTCGACTTTTCCTGATCCTTGTATATGAGTTCTTTTAAGTGTCCTGCCTTAATCAGCCTTTCGATCTCGTCTTTAAGGTGTCTGCAGTCGTCAGTATTGTGCCCGTAGTCCTTATGAAATCGGCAATATAGATTACTTTTTGGCCTCGTTGGTTCGTCTTTCCTCGTCTTGGGCCATCTGACGACATTGTCATGAATTTCTCTTTCCATCACCTCCTCGCACTTGAGGGGCCGACAAAGGGGTGTATTGAGTTGGTCTCCAACCCCTAGATCGCCCCTCTCTTTCTGCTCGCGGGGATCCCTTCCTCGAGTCAAACCTCCTGCCTTTATTTCCTCCGATGCCTTGGGCACCTCGACGCATGCTCGCGTATATCTCGCCACATAGTCCCGTAGCGACTCACTTTTTTTTGTTGGATGCCCATTAAGGTCAGATACGACTTCTCTTGCGGTTTGACACTTGCGAATTGATTGAGGAAGCTCGCACTGAATCCCTCAAAATCTTTGATGGCTCCCGCTGGTAGTTGGTGAAACCAATCCTGCGCGGACCCCCACAAAGTCGTTAGGAAGGCTCGACATTGTACCGGGTCATTATAACGATGCAGCACTGCTATATTCTCGAAACTCCTCATGTGACGCGATGGATCAGTCGACCCGTCGTAACTTATGTTTAGATCTCGAAAACCTTGCGGCAGGTCGGCATCCAGGATGTGCTGCGAGAACGGATGTCCCCTTGAGCCTCCAACTTTTCTCCCCTCGACTCGGGCCTATAAATCGCGAACTTGGGCCAGCAATTGCTCCAGCGTCTCATCTCTCGCTTGCGGGTTAGCGGTCCTGATGGAGGACGTTTCCTCCTCCACCCTCCGGATCTGCCTATCATTGGACTGGGCTTGTTGCTCGTGATCAGGGGGTGGCAACTCGACCCTTTGTTGCTCGACTCTAGGGGGCTCCCTCCTAGGTTGTTCGACCCTGGGTTGCTCGACTTGCACCTGTTTGAGTTGGGCTGCCACCGCCTCTACAATCATTCTTTGCATCTCATTCCTCGTCATAGTCATCATTTGCTCCTCGACCTGGGGCGATGGCCTTGCCCCTTGCTCCAGCATTTCAGGCCGCTTTCCCAAACTCAAAGCCGTTTTGGCCGACTCGTTCTCGTCAGTTCCCGTGTCGGTGGCCCTTGTCTGGCTAGATCCTTCTTGTGTTAGCCCTGGAATCTTCACCCCAGGTGGTGTGATAGGTATTTCTTCCTCCCTACGCGCTCCCGACAGCGCGTGCCCTCCGATCGTCGGAAAACCGAGCACCTGAAGTGGTGGTCTAGGGCCAGGAATCGGCGGAGGGTGTTTATCGTCCATGCTGCCCGAAAATCCTCATTCAAATTTCTCGACAATCCTTCCTTCTCCGCCATGTCAAACAGATCGGAACTAGGTGAAAAGCTCTTATTTCCTTCAAGAACTCCCCACAGACGGCGCCAATTTGATGGGTCTCCTCCTAGATTTGGAGTGAACCGGTGGAAATGAGCTCCGGTGTGTTTGAGTCGTCTTCAAGTCGTTCGTGAACCGCTGCAAACACCTGCAAGAACTCAACACCGGAAGTGTTTTCCGGTGAAGAGCCTCCGACGCTCAAGTCAGTGAGAGAAGAGAGGAGGAGCTCTGCTCAGTGGGAGCAGCAGCTGAAGAATGAATAGAGAGAATGAAAGTTAGGGTTTAGGGTTACTTTAGCCCCTTTATATAGGAGTAGAAACACTTATTTGAAGTACCTAAAATGCCCTGGCCGACTTACACGAAGTACCCAAAATGCACCGGTTGGTTCGCATTCTGCTTACTCTTGAGTCAGCATCTAGATTCCTTCTTATCCTGTGTAAACTCGCACTTGGGAACCTTCCATGTGTCACATCTGCACATCGAGTCGTCGGCGGTCTTTATAAGTCAACTTGTAACCTTGCCGAGTCGATCTGAGGTTATACAAGTACCCGGGGGCTCCTAGAGTGCCTGCTCGTCATCTCCAACAAAGTCGTCTTATGTTCGGTCGACTTTATAAAGTCGACTAGAGACCGTGGCTGGTCCGACGGCTTTTGAATAGCCGATGGGCCAAGTCGACATCGTTGGTGTCGACTTAGTGGGGTCGTCTGCAGTCTTCAGTCGGGCAATCAATATCTGAGCCGGGCCATGACAATAGGGCTATATCAATATTTATATATGTATATATGTTGATTTTTTTAAATGAGTGGCCCACCTGCGGCCCATGTGGCTCCGTCACTGATGCAATATATATTTATAAAAATTTACAAAAATAATATTATTTATTAACTTTCAATAATTAAAGATTTGGTATGTGGGCTAAATTAAAATATAATTAAAATTTATAAAATTGTATTTAGGTACTTGAACCTTTTCTGATTGAGGGGTCGGCGTTAAGGTAGGGCAAGGAGATAGGACTGGTTCCGCGAGGTAGAAGAGGGTGGAGCAATGGCAGAAATTGGAGAAGTTTGCGAAATGACTTCCAGAGAGGGGGTAGGAGAAGGAGTAAACGGAGGTTGGGAGACGAAGGAGGAGTCATTTCCTTGCCGGAAAACCTGTCGGCCTCACTAGAATTGGCTGAATCTGAAAAAGAATAAAAGGAAAGAAAAAAAATTAGGTTTTCGTGGAGGAGAGGAGGATGAAGAAGAGCATCGCAGTCGGCGAATTCAGGGCAGAAGACAAAAACAACACGAATTTAAACATGCAAAGTTAACAAAGGAAAGAGCGGGATACTTACTTATTGTCGACATTGGTATTGGTTGCTCGAAAAAACTTGCAGAAGATGCTGGATCGAGGCGGAACACGGGGAGACACAACGGAGCTCAGGAATTCAGTTGCAAAAGGAGAGAGAAAGCACACAAATCTAAAGCAAATTTCGCAAAGATAAAAAATTAAATAATCTTTATTAAAGGGGTATTTATAGGAGAAAAATGTGTGTAGGTTGAATGACCTTAACCGTTTGATCATGGTCGATGTCAACTGTGAGGATCACGCGGGTGATCTGGAAAGGTAATTTGAGCAAGATCTTCGGATGGTGGCTGAAATCAACGCCCAAGATTAACAGAGGCAAAGTCGAAAAGGCAAATCACACAGAGCCATTAGGTCGTAATGAACGACTGAGATCAGGCAGAAAAGTTGAAGAGATAATAAGAATCTAACAGTTCGATTAAAGATGAATAGAATGGTCATCATTAAGGACACATTTAATGGGTACGTTGTACGAGGCCAACACAAATCACAGAGTGTGTCGTCGATAAGACTTGGTGATTGATTGGATTTGACAAAGAAACAGAAGTTTGAATTTTGAAATTTGAACGGAAGACCCTAAGGGAAGGTCAAAGACTGTGTTGCGAAATTAAATGAAGTGTAAGCAGATAGGTCGAAAAATAAGAGTTGGAACTCACCAACCATAATCAAGACAAAAATATACTTTTAAATCGAGTTATCCTAACTCGACCAGAGTGGGGGACCAGATGATATGGGACACCGCACTAGGTAGAACAAACTCAATAATTGTGAGGTATCATAAAACATCCGAGTGAGTGAAAAAATTGCATTCAATAACATTAAAAAAAAAAGATGGTGCATTAAACTTGAAAATCATGAAACAATCCACAACCTTCAAAACATAGAAAGAAAATCATCACTTCACTAATCATGAAAATATACACTAGAAACTCATTTTATTTTCGTTTTATTTTGTTCCCGCAACTACGTGTTTAGTAAACTTTTCATATTTTTATTAAAAAATAATCAGCTAAATAAAATTTACCACTACTCACAAGTATAATTTTTTTTTTTTTTTCTCGGTACAAACTCACAAGTATAATTTACCAGTGTATTATAGTACAAATCAGTCTAATATAATAAACATAGTGTGTTTGACCTTTCAGTAAACATTCAAAAGCGATCGCATGTTAGCCATTGGTTTTAAAAAAAAAAAAATGTAATGGCAGTGCTTAGAGGCCGATTTCAATGGAGCCTGCTATGTAAAAAACATGCTTTCGACCGAGTTCTTGAAATCAAATAACTTTATCATCCAACTTAACGAAAAAAAACTCTTCACCAATATTACAACAGATCAAAAATATAATAAAAACCAAAGAACTACTGTAACAGGTCTCCGAAAGAAGAACCTCACCAAAGATTCCGAGTAGCAGCAACAATAAGCAAAAATGTGCAACACGTTGCCTGAATGGGTACACTCCATTGTAAGGGGGAAGGGGTTCCTAACAGGAAAAAAACCAATTCATTCCCTTATTTTGAAATCATACTCTCCCAACAATCCAGAATATTGGACTCTATTCTTATGCAGCACGACACATAAACACACGTGACAAACCCAAATCATCTATCTACAATCAAACCAAGACAAACATGAGAGCAGAACAAATACACCAAGAAAAAGAAACCGGGGACATTTCATTTCAATCTATTCAGGGTTGTAGTTGAGAGACTCCTTCCATATTAGCTCCTTTATGTCCTCTTCACTTAATGATGACTGTTCAAAATCAAACACAAACGGAGATGGACAAGTGGGCTCCTCATTGATTTCGTGGAGGCTCAACAAAAACGGATGATTCAGTGCTTCCTCAACTGCAGCCATTGAAAACCACTTATTAGTAACGGAATGAATGAACGTATAAAATACCTCCAAGTATCAATTAACAGCAGAAAGCATACCAGTAATACGTTTGGCCGGGTCAAAGACAAGCATTCTCTCAGCAAGATCAACTGCAAGAGAAGATAATTCTGGGAACTTTTGAGAAAAGGGCAGTTTGGGTACGTGAGGAAGCTGCTTTACATACTTCCGGGCATTTTCACTTCTTAAAAACCCCAGATCAGAATCTTCAGGAGAGCCCAATAGCTGCTCCACATATTAATTCAAATTTTTAATAGAGTGCCATCAGCATCACATCATTATGGGATTTTTTTTTTTCAATTTTTTTGATGAGGG